GGACAGCTTCTGAGCCGTGGAATTCATTTTGTACCTTGGGTTTTTACCCATAAATGAACTTTTTTTTAAGGAGAGAAAAAAAGAAAAGTTACTTTTTTATTTTGTATTTTTTGAAGAAAACTTGAGGGCTATTACCTCTTGCAGAAGACTTCAGGATGCTGTTTTGTTACACACTCTGGCTGTTACTGAGGATTTGTTCTTTTTTTTGCACCATTGCAAACTTCCACAAACTGCCATCACTGCTGCAAGCACGTTCTGCTGCTTCGGGAGCAAGAGATACAGTTTTCTTTCTAAGTTCTTCAGCAGACTGTGCAAACCTTGGATCAGAGCGAGCCTCCATGTGACACTGCAGTGTGTGATGTTCATGTAGGCCCTTCGCCAGCCCTGCGTTAAGTGATGCACTCCATCTGCCAGCACTACCAGCAGTGTTTTCCTGGTGGCAAAGGACTTCAGTACAGAGGAGACGAAGCAATAATTAAAGCTTGAGGCAGACAAACGTGTGGTAAAACTACCTAGGAGGAGACAACTTGTATTGCCTTAACTTTAGTTTGTAGTGATGGGTTTGCTTTTATTTTATGATGCTACTTGGAAGCCTCTTCAGCAGCATTTCTCAGCTCCGTAGCAGTGGCCTCAAGTTGCAGTGCACTTTACTTTTGGTACTGAAGCAGTGACCCCTCAAAGCCATTAAAAACAATTGCACACTTTGGTTTTTTTTCCCAGACAGTGCTAAGAGAAAGGGGCCGCTTCTCCCACCAGCCATCCTCAGTTCCTGTGTGACAGGACACCTACAAGCGATGCAGATAATGGAGGCTACAGCTGGGGCTGCAGTCGTGCAGGCGGATGGAGGAAGAACCGATTTCGGCTGCTCGGTGTTGTGGGTCCGCTTCCTGCTGCTGCCATCTGTTGGCCGTTTTGACACGGCCATCCTTCAGCAGCTGTAACAACCATCTTCTGGGGCTTCCTTGCTCTGGGATGGGAGCAGCAGCTGCTGTCCCTGCGGTCTCCAAAGGACGCGGTGCCTCACGTGCTCGGTTCGGGGTGGTCGGACCCACAGCCTACTCTACGTTTTTGCCTTGTGTCGTTTCTACAAGTTCTGATCAGGCTGCTCTCTGGGAGAGCCCCAAAGTGCCTTTCCATGCCTGAACATCTCTGGGAACACGTCTGCATTTTGGGAGGGAGGATTCTGCCTCAGCTGAGCTTTTGCTAATTTCTTTTTATAATCACGAGCTCCACTTTGCCCCTGTTTTGTAGTCAGCTGCACTTCCAGTGGCAGGTGGCATCACCCTTCAGGATTGCTTGCTGCCACTCTTGTAACTTGCAATTAGATGTTTTCAGCATTGGAATGAGGTCTCTAAAAGCATGGATCAGTTAAAACTGTCTTAAGGCTGTTAAACCTTTGTTGGTGCTGAACACTAATGGCATGGCATGGCCAGAAGAGCTATTTGGAAACAAAGAGAGCAGTGTTTCAAAGTAATGGGAACGTTCTGTTACGCTTAGTTCTAACTTTCTAGATTAGGAAACAGAAGAAAATAGGGTTTGTTGTGAATTTCTTAATAGGTGCTTTTAAGGACTTCTCAGCCAGATGTCTTTTGAATTGAGTGCCATTGCGAGGGCCTGACTGGGAGACTGAAAGTTGCCTGTATGTAGTTAAGGCTGGGTGGTGCCTCGCTGCATCCTCTGCATGGCCACCCCTGTGCTTTTAGGACGTGTCCCAGGAGTTGAACTATTTGCCATAAGCAGCTTAGATATCAGTTGGATCCTAGAAATGCAAGGATGGCCTTGATAGAAGCACCAGGAGCACTGCAGCCAGGAGGAATTACTCATGAATAAGGGCTACCTGAAGCAATGAGTACAGGATCCAGCTTTGTGTCAGTACCATGACATCCTATCTTTATTTTCAGCAGAGGGCTGATGGCTACTTGTCCAACTGTCCTGTCCTCATCCTGCAGTTTATTTTGAACCATTGGAAAATGTTGCCTTATAAGCCACTAGGAAAGTGAGAGGAACGAATGCTTAGAAATTCCCAACAGCTTAGTTACTGCCTTAACACTTCAGAAAGCAAAATCCTTTGAAGCTGCAGCAGATGGGGATGAAGGATTTGGGGGCAGCAGTGGCATTATTAGCCCTTTATTAAAGGGACCGGACACTTTCTGTACAAATACCAAAGATAAGAGAAGCTGCACCACTCTAAGTTGTGACAACTTGCTGTGAGAATCTCTGTAATAATACAGACTGCATTTCAGTGTGTGTGTTTTAAAGCCTGAAACCTCAGCTTTGAGTTAAAGCTTTCCTAAGGCGCAAGGAACAGCTGGGTACCTCATTTCTGTGCCTTTCAGTAGGAGCCACAGGGCTGCATACAACCCTCTGAAAACCTTGGGCATCCCTTTCCACTGGTAGGTTTTGTATCACACTTGCAGCTGCTTCCTGCTACAGGTGCTGAGCCCCTGTTGCTTCCAGGAGCTGTACTTGAAGATTTGTGTGTGGTTGTTCCCTCCCCTCCCTGTCAGCCAAACCTCTGTATGAGCTGCTGCTTTGTGGATTGAGCTCATGTGGATCTCAGCTCTCTTTTCAAGCTGCCAGCAGGGCTGTTTTTGTTGATTGCATTTTGTTACCCAGCTGGACTTCTAGGAAAAACCCCAATCTGAATTTCCAATGAATCTGAACCTGAATTTGCTGCCACTTTGTCTTTCTATCATGCCTAGCATAAACCTGCACCAAGTGTTTCTTATCACTGTGCCCTGGCTCTGCCTTAAGCTGTAATTTGAAAAAGTGTTTTCTGTAAATATTTAAAAGCTGTTACTAAATTGCACTGTAAAATTTGGCAGATGGATCGCGTGAGGGCAGGGGAGCCAACGTTGTATGGATTGATCTTTGCATTGGGTATGTAAATAAAATCCTCTTAGTAAACACACAGTTATCAGTCAATCCATTAAACGTCAGCTGGGCTCCACATTACCTATAGAATGGTTTGGGATGGGAGGGACCTCATCTAGTTCAACTATTATAGCAATGCAATCCCCACCTATTCTATTCCACATTTAAAAGAGCCCAAACAACCACATATAATTTATGCTTTAATACATAAAAGAAACCATACAGCTGCAGGAGTTCATGGACACCACAGTTAACACTTCAGTATATCTCAAATAAGACCAAACACTTTGCCTGAATGGCGGGCAACCACGAGAAAAGGAGGAAAAGCAAATGCAAACTTCTTCACCTTGCTGTAGTGTTCCAGCAGAACTCACCCTGTCACAAATAAATCCCAAATGCACCTCCAGCTACTTGGGAACACCAATAAAGTAGAGTGTCATTTCAGTGTCTGCACAACAGCGCATGTACAGCACAGAAGCCAGGCCCCCATCCTGTGCTGAGGTCCCACTGGTTGCACAGCACCAGAAAGTTAGCAAGGCAGTGACTTTCTGAGCCTCCAAGTGAGGGCCTGCTTGACCCACACGCCTGGGGAAATGTGTAAACCCCAATCCCTGCTGAGCACAGGTTTGCTTCAAACTCACACTGCTGTAAAAATAAATAGAGACATCCAAAATCCACAGGGCCTGGAGCCAGGCTCCATCACTGCCAGGGGGCAGCCTCACCACTGCCTATGCTTGATGCTGGGAGCTGCTCAGTCCTGTGGCAGCTAATGGACTTGGCCTGGACCTCTGCTGGAAGATCAATGTGCCATAGCCATAGCTTTTGTTCTCTAATACAACAATAGAAATCCATCTAGAACAACGGGAAGTGATTGCACATGACTTACACTGCCTCTGTGCAGACAATGAAGGACACTTCTCTATGCTGATCCACTAACACACAGAAAGGACTTTCCAGAAGTCAGGCGGGCCTCAACCCCTAAGACTCTCAGGAGGGCCTGAAGCACTTCTGGAAATCTTCCTGTAGGCACTTATAAAAGAAGAGAGATATTTGCTGCACTTAGGAAAAAGGAACACTGCTGATAACAGAACCCACATCCATACAAATGGGAACGAAACGCATCAGCACAGTACAGCGCTGGCAGAGACGGTGCTGTTACTCTTAACCAGAAAGGCATTCATGTTCCTTACACAGAAAAGGAAAACAATACATCCATAGCAACAAAAACAGGAACAGCAAACTTCAGCACCAAGCCTACCTTACAGTTTGCAGACAGAAAATAATGAGAACTTGCTCGATGCAACCCTGACGACAAAAGGATCAAAGCTTCTAGGGGCAGACTGACACCTACCTCTACTTTAAGTATGGCCAAGTAACTTACACACCAAGCAGCACAAGCTTAAACACCAGTCAATTACAAGAGCAGAACTGACCTGCACTTACAGGAGCTGTTTTCCTCTCATGCTTTTGGAGTGCGTTTCAGCTTTGCTTTGTACCAGCACAACGTCAAAGTTAGGAACAGCGTTGCTTTGGGTCTCTCTGTGGCCCTCAGAAATGCTGGCTGTGTAAGGTAGGCCTGTGCTTGCTCACCTGCCTGCTCAGCTCTGGCTGTACTGAATGCACTGTGTGCTCACCCGTGGGTTAAGCAGCCTGTATGGAACTGCGCACAGCAGGAACAGGACAGCTACACTCCAACACAAGGGAGTTAAGCAGCCCAGAGCGTGTTTACACCTACAGTCACAGCTTTGTTGGCCCTGAATCCAAAATGAATAGAATTAAATACAGAACACTGTACTTAGAGCAGCAGAGGGCAATTGTTCCCAGCTATGTGCATTTTTTTCCTGCTGAAGTCTCATTTATTGTTGATGTCTCTTATGTGCCTGACTGTGACAGAGTCCAGACGGTTCCAAACTGGGAGGAAAGTGAGCGGCCTTCAGAAGCTGGAAGGTCCTGTGATTGGAATGCTCCTTGGACAGCCTCTGGAAATCTTCACTGATGAGGTTGATGCAAACAGAGATTTTGCTCAGCTCCAGCATTATTTAACACGCACAGCCACCTTTAGAAAGCTTCTTACATCTTCTATGCTACTGAACTGACTGACTTTGTTGCTAACAAATCAACTAGTCTTCTTTCTGGCTTTTTCCTCCAGCACAATCTGCTCATTTTAATGAACTTCACAGACAGTATCTCTGAACAGTCACTTCATCTGATGCAGAAGTACAGACAGGAAGCTCCTGTGAAGAGTCTCATACTTCCTATTATCACAGAAGGGCTTTGGTTGGAAAAGACCTCACAGACCATCCAGTTCCAGCCCACATCAGGCTGCCCCATCCAACCTGGCCTTGAACACCCCTGAGAGGTGCTCCCTAGAACAGCTGTGCACACTGCATGCAAAGCCAGGTGGCAGTGTAAACAGATTCCCTCATGCAGCATTCTGCTGTCATTTCCCCACTCTCAGCATTCTGCTGCCACAACCGTGCTACATTTCTGCTGGCTGATGAAAGAGCATCACCTGCCTTGCTTTGATGTCTGGTGCAGATTATCACAAAAGCAAACCTAAGTATCTAATGGCAAATAGAAGCTTTGTCTTGACAGGCCCACAGTTTCCTCTCTCATGTCATTTCTAAACACTTCTGCTCCTCTTTCAGAAGTTTACTTAAAATATTCAGCACCCATCAGTCTGGAAGCCTTTGTAGTGGAAACAAGCGACATGTTCTTTTTGTTGGAGATGTTGCTTTTGATTGCACAATTAGGCTAGAGAGCGTGGCTCTTTATTAACATGCTTGAAATATGACAACATAATAAGAAGATGAATGAGGATAAAGCACCTTGCAAGGAGTCTGTGTTCCATTACTAGGATGAAACTACGCTGAGATGTTCCCACATCAAGCCGGAGCCATGACTAATCAGGTAGATCATTAACAGCCATTTGGGAGAATGGTGCATTTAGCCTATCCAGTTCATCTACCTGTGGGGGGTGGTGCATTATAACCTCATGGTCCTCCAAAACGTCATCACCCACAGTGACCAGGTTTGTTAGAGATTTGCTCCGGACGCACTGGAAGTCAACGTGACGGCTTTTGCCCTCCTCCTTTTCCCAGGACATCTGGATGAACGGCCGCTGGACGTAGTTGTATATCACTTCTGAGCGGCCACCCGGCCTCCTCTTCACCTTCTCTTTACAGGTGGGATATCCTGAAAACACAGACAGGCAGTCAGTTGCACCACACACCTTCAACAGATCCTAAAGGACAGACAGGAGTGACTGCAGGCACACAGGGGACTGAGTAGACAAGTGAGCTCCCACATTTACCATTTCTGCCTTTCATACCATTACTGCCTTTCACACCATTTCTGCCTTTCACACCATTACTGCCTTTCACACCATTACTGCCTTTCACACCATTACTGCCTTTCACACCTGCTTTCTTTTCCCTGGAAAAGAGGATGCAGCTCTGTGTGTAGCCATAGCATCCCACGGCTGCACAGCATCAACCATGCTGCAGGCACACGTGACTGGTATTCCCTGCTTCCAAACCCTGATAATATGCTTAGCATAACCAATGGTATGGCAAACATCCATGACTTTTAAGTAGTCATTTTCCACCACCTCTCTCTTCCCTTCCTGGTGCCGGGATGTGGGGACAGAATAATTAATCCATTAGCATTATCAGAGCCCAGGTGGTGACACAGGAAAGCACAACAGCACGTGAGACAGCCAATGTGAGCTCTCCTCTGATGCAAATCCAGCACAAAACAGGCTTTACACGCTATGGAGTCGCTCCTTTTAGCATTTCCCTTGTTGAGGAGATAATTTTACCTTCAATGCCAATGCGAATATTCTTCAGGCCCCGCTCCTTCAACACAGCTTTTGCAACATCTCGGTTCTCAATGTACTTGAAGAATCTGTACAGCTTGGAGCTGTAAAGGACTGGAGAAATAAACAGCAATGAGAATCCACAGGGGAGACCTTCCCCCTGTTTTTGACATACTCAGCAGTGGGAGCGTCAAAAAAGCAGGTTTGGTTTCCAGAAACTGCTCACATTTCTGTTCTCATCAGTAGGATGAGCTCTGGCTCCTTGGTGGCAGTGCAGCCACACACATTACAGTATGGATAGAAGGGAGGCGATGGGTGCATAAAGCAAAAAGTATTCAGACACCAGAAAAAGGCTGAGGCAGTAAAGATATGGAAAAAGATGCAGTGAATGCTCTCCATTACCACTGCAGGAAGTCAAAACAAAGCTGTAACAAGACAAGTATCCTGCCTGCAGCAGCAGCCAATTGAGAAGGAATGCACAAAACAGAACACCATGTGCCAGCCTCCCTTCCTGGAGGAAGGCTGCTGTTTGGACAGTGGGTCCTTCCCTAGCAGCCAGATGGCTGGGAGAATGCAGAACCTGAGGCAGGAGTTGCCTTACTTTGAGAATACTCCTCGCCCATGGGAGGAGGGTGATCTTCATCCCAGTCCACAGTGTCCTCGTCTGTCAGCACAACAATGTGGCATTCACGCTCCCCTTTCCGGGCACTGTCCACCATGATAGGCAGAATGAGCTCCTCCAGGTAGCTGTCAAACTGCTTGTGAGCACCATCATTGGAGAGCTCATGTAAAAGAGCACCTAAAGAGACACAACAACACCATGAGCTTCTTTGAATCACGAAAATACAGGTGTGCATGTATTAAGATACCACATGAACACACAGCCCAGCTCTGCACTTTTAAGATATTCACTCATCTTTAGACAAACTCCTCCACGTATGTTCAGTTGCACCAATAGTCCCCAGTACCACAACTGGAAAAAAAAACGAATGCATTTCAAATGTGATGCAAATGACACCCCAGAACCACTGAATTACCATTAAAAAAAAAAGCTGAATCAATACAGCAAAATGAGAGAATAATTCATTCGTTCTGATCTTTGAACTTCCAGCAATTATCTCTGGACCTCAAAGCACATTTTCTGCCACCTGCCTGCTCGTCAGAGGACAGCAGGAATTCCACCCAAAGTCTGTGCTTTGGTATCACAAGTCCCATTTCAGCACAGTGCTCTTCACAGATTTCCTTATGTGAAAAGTTCCTCTTTGCCAGCATCCCCACCAGAATGCTGCTCCCAGTCAGTTTCCTTCACTGCTAGGAACTCGACTACTTCACAACTTGTGTGTCTTCAACACCCAGTCTGCCTGTTCATCTCTCTGCTTAAGTTACTCTCACTTCTCTGGTACGTTTCAGACAGGGGTTGCAAACCTGCTTTTAGCCTTCATTTTGCCTGGCTGTAGCAGTAAGCTCTTCCAGGTCCCCCATAAAACAGAGGCTGAGAAGTTCTACAGTCTCACTTTGCTTTTCTGAGCAAAATGTCTTTCTTCTGCAGGGTTCAATCAGTGCATTTTCAGCTGAAGCAGCAAAGAAAAGGAAGCTGCCTACATGCAACACAGCCATCAGTCCTCGTGGAGTCCATACCCTTACACTTAAACTAAAGCACATAAGAAATGCACCAAATCAGGATGAGTGCTCAACACCGCAGCCATGATTTTCCTAAGAGCTGATTTATCTTTATACTTACTTAAATCTTGACATTTGATTGTGTTGAAGTCAAAGTTTATGCACAGGTAATCACAGGTGTCTCGAAGGTCTGGGATGGAAATGCCATCAGGACAGTTTATTATTCCAGTCTTGTAATAATCCTGCAAAGAAAAATTTGGAGTGGAAAATAAAGAATTTGGACTCCAATCATTTTTCTATTTAGCTTTTTGTTTTGTTGACAAGCACTTGAGTTTCAGGAAATATAAACAGGCTTGTGAATAGCAGAAACCTCCCACCTGCCTGAGAATCTTCAGTTCTCTGCATCCCTCTTGGCTCTGACCAACTGTGAGCCCCAGTCAAACCTTTTCCATGGCACTGGGCTTCCTAACACATGCAGTAATCATTTACGTGCAGCCACAAAGTCAGAACGAAGCTCACAGGAAAGGTAAAAGGCAACATGAGCAAATAGTTGATCTTGATGCAAGTCAGTATTTCAGATGCATGCATACCTGTGTGTTTATTTTCTATAAAATCACAATGCAAAACTGCAATAAAAAAGCTTATCTCCCAGGGGCACAGAGAGGACTCAGTTTTGCACATGACAAAACAACTACAAACATCATCTTACCAGCACAGTCCGGAACACAGCTGAGCTAATTCCTTCTGCAATTTCATATTCTCCCTTTTCATTTGGCCTGGTGAAATTATATTCTCTTCCTGGTCCAAACATTCTGAACAGATAAAAATACATTTAAATTCATTATTTCTAGAGAGCAACAGGTGCACTGAGGTTACAGAAAACCCACAGTGACACCTGCACCCAGCAACCTGAAACCAGTACTCATATTCCTCCATAGCAAACAAGCACAAGAGCTGTCTCACCTAAGTCCTGCTAGAGCTGAATTCCATTGCTATAGCTACTGTATCGTATGCAACAAGGCACAGCTCAAAGAAACAGAGCAGTCAAGCCTGAGTCAGAACACTCCTAGTGGACAAAGCCCTTTCACTGAAGCTATGCAAGGTAAGGATCACGTGCCTCGAGATCACTTGCTTTACACAACGACCTGTGCAATGTCAGCAGCCCAGCAGAAGCAGTCTCTCCTTGGTCACAGGCAGGCTGGCAACACAGAAAATGAATGTTTCTTGTGGCATCAGAGACTGACCTGTACTTCATGCCACAGGGAGCTGAGTGACTTCTCTCTTGGGAGAGCATCAAAAGATAACAGCAGGGCAGGGAGAAAGCATTATCATTTCTTCCCCCATTTTGTAAGGGATGAAGTTATCAGCTGCCAGCAGGCACAGACTCACAAACAAGGCAGACACTCAGAAGGAAAAAGCAAGCTGCATCTGGCTAGAAGTGCTCACTGCTTGAAGGAAGCAGGCCATAGAGAGAACATTACCTAGAGAATTACTAAGTCTCTCTACATCTAGTCATGTCTTCAAGGCCTTACTAACAGCAGAGATCTGAATGAGGTCAACGTTGCTCTGCATGCGTGCAGTGATGAGATCACAATACAAACATGTTCATTCCGTTTCAGAAAGCATCTTACTCTCTTGAGATATATTGAAAATAGGGGAAATCACTCACCTTCCCAGCATAGTATCAGGGTGAGCAGTGAAAATCTGTGGATTCACAGCAAATCGAGTGCCATCGACCACAAGTGTCACTTTCTCTGGAGCCACTGTCTGTGAATTGATGCTTGAAGACAAAGCATGGCGCTCCTGGGCGTTAAAATATTCTGCCTGTCTTTTATTTCCATCTTGGAAGTGACAACTGTGTGCGTCTTCAGAAGCAGACAACATGCTGCTGAACTGGGGGCTGGCTGGGCAGGCAGTGTGTCTATAGTCAGAATCTAAACCTGGGAGACACACAAAAGGAAGATGCAGCTTATTGAAACATCATTCAGCAGTAATGCTTCTTACTGCAGTGAGAAAAATGAGTCAGGCAATAACAAAGCACGTCGATATACATCACTGTCAGAATAATGCTATCTGACCTGAGGCCAGTCTGCATTTTCAAATTTAGACAGAATGTGGCTTTCAGAGAAAAAATTTCCCCCATGCTTAACACAGCTTGTTAAAGCAAGACACATCCCACGGTTAAAGAGCAGGAGCACAAATTAAACACTTCCTGCACCACCACCCCCCAAAATCTCCCTTAAAGATCAGTGCAAGGTAAAGACATCATCCTCACCCTCGTTCCTGAGGCCTGCAGAGGGGCTGTGACCTCCAAGCACCACATCACCTTCTTCTGTCTCACGCACTGCTACAGTTCCACTTTCTACAGAGCAAGTGGACTCCAGATTCCTCTTCCCACCAGCACAGTTAATATTCATGCTGGGCCTCCGTGATGCAAGGTGTTGGTTGCGTTTCCTAAGAGAAGAGCTAGGAGAGAAAACAGCAGGTTGTTGGTTTTGGAAGAAGCTCTCAAACAATGAAGAATTAAGGCAAACCAGGAAGGACAGCTTAAAGCCTGGATCTGGCTTGTATAACAAACAGCCCAACTGTTCAACACGACAAATACACTGCAGTCATGCACACAGCCCAGGAGGGAAATCAGGGCATCAGAAGGCCACACTTGAGGCTGACCAGCTGACAAATGTCCTGCTTTCCTTTCATGCCTACAATCAAGGCGAAGCACCTGGAGTGAGACTGAATACCTATAAATAATAATTAGCACTGTTCACCCTCGAAGCTTTTCACGTATATTAACAGCTCATGCCTCCTGATGGCCCTGGGAAACACTGCAGGGCAGCCTTATTAGAGAAAACAGGGACAAAAGAGAAGATAATTTTGGGATCAACTGCAGCCCCAATGCTGATGCATCCACCCCTCCTGCCCCTGGCTGCACACAGGCAGCTATCTCAAGAGCAGGCTGAGAATTCTTAATCCCTAAAATGAAAGAAGAGTGCTGTAACCATTTCTGACTGGAGACTGAACTCTCATCCAAACCTGCTTTGCAACACACACAGCTCTCAGCAGTGAAATGCTTCGTTTCAAATGGCCCAACTTGCTCATACCAACACAAAGAGCATAGAGGTGGTGTGCAAGAAAGGAATGCCAACAGCATAACCAGCAAAGGAAACCCAGGACAGATGCAAAACATTTCATCAAGCAGAAGATAGTAAAATTAGCAGCGCAGACTTGCTGGTTTCTAACATCTAGCATTAGTTGCTCCTTATAATTACCCTCTTTGTTTTTTCTTAATATTTTTAAAAGCAATTCTAAAACAGCTGAAGAGCCCAGGTTTGCAGAACTCCATAGAAACTCCAAAGAAAAAGCAGTGCTGTCAGACTGTTCAAGAGGAAAGCCCTTGCCTGGAACATCCAACAGCTTCAGCACTGCTTTGCAGTCACCCAGCACAACGAGCAGCAACTCGGGAAGCAGCAGAAATAGCTGAAGAGAGTGATCTAAATTCATCCCATGGTTTAAAAACAGCAAAGGGTGACAACCAGACCAAGCAACCAAACGGGGCAGCTGGCAAACTGCTGCTCTTCCTACATCACAGCGTCACGATGACTTCAATGCAACTCCCAACAACTCATTTTTAGGTGACGACGCTCCTTTAAATCTACAGAAACATTCCCACGTACAAATTCTCAGAAACATGAGCAAGCAGGAAATGTGCATCTTCAGGGTGTGCCTGACCTAATTCTGCAGTCCACAGGTTTGGAACAAGACGTATTTGTAGCATCATTGCACGCCTTTCTGAAAAGTTTAGCCTGGCTTTAATTTCTGAAAGCGCATCCTTGGAACACATCCAAAGCAGAACCATGATGACAGACTCCTCTTCTGCAGAACAAAAAGGGAAATCTCACTTCAGATAAATAATGAGCAGCATTTCCTGTGCGTGAGGATGGGCGACTGAGGCGGCTATGGCACTGACACCCCAAGCCAAGGCCCTGCTGCCCACCTCGCTCCCTGTGCTGCTGAAGCAGCTCTGCAGGGCTGTGCAGGACAGCACAACCCAGCTGCTCAGAAAGGCTCCACTTGGAGTTTCTGCCCTGGCTGCGAGCAGCTCGCTGAAAACAGCAGGGCTGAGCCGACGTGAGCAAGATCAGAATCAATCTGTGTGAGCTTTGGCCCCAGCTTCTGTTCGTTCCCACACCCTTAACCTGGGGATCTCTGCAGACTTAAATAATAAAGAAAATACAAAAAGGAAACAGCACAGAAGGGCACAGGAAGAAAACCCAAACCTGCTTGCCTGCTGTAGCCTTGACCAAGCTTCTCTTCTGCTCTGTTCCCTTCTGCACCCCCAGCAAGAGACAATTACAGCATCATCAACAAATTGTAACCAAAACCTCCCTATTAAAGCACCTTCATGCAGAACCACAGCGTGCGTCCAACACTCATTTGGAGTTTGAACTGTCACGTACAAATCAGGCTCCTTACTTGCCACCTCTCTTTGAAGCTCAGGCCTTATTTACAAGCACAGTGCTGCTCTTTCAGAAGGTGAAATGCCACATGTGAAATGTCACATAGCAAGAGAGGAAGCCAGGCTGATGGGCTGCCCTGGGCACAGAGCACTGTGGCCTCCCATCACCTCTGGCACGTAGGGTTTGCTTACAGAGCAGGAAAGGCAAGCGCTGAGCCCCAGGTTCTGCCCTGTGGGGCTGAATCATACAAAGGATGCTCGAGGCCAAGTGAAATGCAGTGGGCCTGGTGCTGCCCACCTGTAGACAGGCCTGCACCATAGGAGAACAACATAAAGTGCATTCATGCACATTGCATCAGAGAGAAAGTCTGCCTGGAGCCTTTGAGATGCTCATCTCATACCTACTAATGATCCTCGCCTCATTTTCTGTTACAGACACAAATGCAACCAGGCGATCCAAGAGTGCTTTACAGGCTCAGTTCACACAGACGCATTGCAAAGGCTTCTCCCCTCTTATGAAATATCTCTATCAATGCACAGTGCATTCATTTTCCATCTGGTTTCAAATTATAGACGGAAAATAATGTCCAGCAGGATTGATGCAACGCAGAGCAGCCTGCAAATTCTGGCCAGAGACAGCAAGGAGGCTGATGAAATGCTCGATTGTTTTCTCCTATTCTGTGCATAGTACTCCACTGTTAGCAAAGTTTACAGACCTACTCACTTACTTCAGTCTTAACAACAATCTACTGTTTCTACAAGTGCAATTCAGAGCTCCGGCCTGCAGCACAGCTTTAACAGCTTCACACTGACCGTCTGACCCTGGATGTGAGCCTTAGGGTCTGCCAGGTTCTTCCTTAAGTGACAGGGACTGGTTCACACACAGCTCCATCACCACAGATGGCACCGAGTCACCGCAGCGCTCCACGCTGCCACCATCAGCAGCAGCACTAACGCACAGAGGAGGCTTGCTGAGATTTATTAACTTGCAGTAACACACGATGGCCTTTCCCAAAGCAGGAAAGTTACACCAAAGCACTCAGCAGGGTGAGACGAATCCAGCACCCAGCACAGCTCTGCTGCTGGATGTATCAGAAGGAAACTGATTGCTGAATAAGGCAGCAGGTCTGTGTGTGCTGAAGCTCCTGTCCTCCCTGAGAGGCTCAACAAGCACAGCCAGGTGGCCTTTAGGAACCACTGCTGCTACCCACACTCAGGGTTAAATGCAGCTTTCTGAAAAAGCTCTTACAGCTGATCCTCACCAAGAGCTTCTCATCACTGCAGTCACGGCAGCTTTGCTGGTTCTGCTCAACTACCTTCAGTCAGAACCTGGTGAAAGATGGGCCAAACTGCAAACATCAGCAGGATCTTCAGACTCAGGAGAAACACAGGGTCCCTTTTTAATGTATGTTGTTAACGAGTGCCTCCTGTTCATGTAGGATTTTTGTGTATAAAAACAGTTCATAGACGTGCATGTCATTTTTTTTAAAATGCCTGCAACAATATTTTATCAAGTATAGGCATCCCATGGAGATACAATATCAGCATTGCAGCAGGAAGCCCTAGGTAAGTTCAGATGTATTCCTATGGTGCCTCAACTGACCTCAATATCATGTAACTATGAACACCATAACGCAAGTTTGTTAGAATCACAGAATCACCAAGGTTGGAAAAGACCTAAAAGATCATCAGTCCAACACACACACACACACACACAGACCAAGCCAGCTGAAGTTTTAAGCCAAATGACACCTATGAGTTTAACTGTGTTAAATAAAGCTACAAAGCACAAAATCCTCAACAGAAACAACAGCAACAGACAACAGAGTTCTGACTTGCATCCATTCTCAGCAGGGGAGCTGAGAAAAGCTTCAAAACAACTAAAAAGTTGAAACAAAAACAAAAGCAAGACATTCCTTTAGATCTTAAAGCACCGTTTCGTCCTGGGCAGCTAAATCTGACTTTGTTTCCCATTCACACAAATGCCTACACTACAGAATCCAAAGCTTCTCATCATCAGCTGTCCTATAAAGCATAAAGACTTGTGACAATCCTGACACACCTGCAGCAAGCAGAACTGAACAGAAATCACCTCCTTCCCTGCCGTAGCCCCCGAGCAAAGCCTCCCCCAGCACCCACACAGCACAGCTTTACTCACTGGCGGCTCATATGTTCTCAGTGCTACCGGCTCCAGTCCCTCAAATCCTTCTTTATCAGAGGGAAGCACGGAGGCACAGCAGAGCTTCGCAGTTTAAACTGTTTGGACGGCTCTGGTCACTCCCCCAAAGCCCAGCTGTCTGATTCATGTCAATATTTCAGTCTAAAAGTCCCCTCCCACTTCAGAGCTGATTCATGACAGCTCAATGCAAAACCCACGTGGCAGCAAACAGCTTTTTTTTCTTTTCTTTTTTTTTTTCCCCTCCTTCTTCTTTTTAAGCCTCCTATTTTCAGGGGGAAAAACAAACCAACAAACCTCACCATCCTGAGTCTCTCCCTCCAGACTCCTGGCTCAGCCCTCTTAGTTTTGACATAGGGAACAGTTTGAACACGAGTGGATTGGTTCTTTGGTGGAGTGAATAACCTGAATTCCAACTCCTCACTTGTAGTTTGCTGCAGTTTCTTGATGTTTCACACAGCCCCTGTTTGCCACGACTCTTATCTTGGAAATGCTGCGAGCAGCCCAGAACTCCACCTTCCTCCTCTGGAAGGGATCCCAGCAAGTAACTGCTAACTCATTCCCAGCTCATCTGCTACAACTCCAACTGCCATTCATTTTTAACCAGTTGCACGGCAGCAGCTTGAGCCAACGAATAACAGAGGGAAGAGTTTTGAAAGCAGTTACAGTAACTGTGAACCAATGAGAGTTCAGAAAAACAGAGCATGCAGCATTAAAAACAAAACGAGCAAAGACGATCCAGACCCACAGCAGGAAAACTACTGAATGAAACGCAATTCAATATCAAAGTGTCCTGCCTTGAGAAAGTGGCTGATCTGTAGTGAAGTGTGGAGGAACTCAGGGGTTACTGCTGTGCTGGATAAGCTCTGATCTGTCTACACAGCCCTGCTGGTACAGCTCACAGCCCTGCACCTCCAGCACAGGCACTGACAGTGACCAGAGGACGGTGGCAGCTTGCACCCAGCAGAGCTGCAGCCAGCAGAGCAGCGCTGAGGACGTGGCAGAGCTCAGCACAGGAGGAGCTTCGTACCAAAGCTGGGCAGAACACAGGATCTCAGTCAGGGCGGTTATCTGGCAGCCCCAGCAGCACTGCCTATCTCTCCTATCCGTGGCAAAGAACGGCTGGAAATGGCTCAGATGAATCCACAGAACCATGGGGACACTCCTGCAGAGCAGAGGCACCGGGGCTGCGTGCTCTGCAGGAACCAGAAAGTTTTATAACACACGTTAAGATACAGACAACAGAAAGCAAAACAAACCCTGCAGACTGCGGTCACGTTAGTAATGCTGAAACAACCCTACAGCCAAACAAACAGAAGAGATTTATTTAGCACAATTGCAGCTCTTCGAGAAAGCTCATCCCGATTTATTTTTGGGATGGGAGAGAGGGGGGCTAAGAGTTCTGCTGGGTAAAGCCAAGCATCAACACTGTTGGCTCATGTCAGCAGAGGACACGATCCATTACTTCCAAGAGCTGGAAAACATCTTGCTCAATATGATGGTACACTGGCACAGCACTCCTTGCTGTGTTTACATGTCTGGGTAAATATTTTACACGTCAAGCATAGCTGTAACACTTTCTAAGAATACTTCCTTGCATTCTTTCTTATGTGACTAATAAGGCTCTCACAAAAATATTTGGCTAGTGTCGTGTTTCAGCAAAATGAACCAGGAACTGGAGCCGTATTTTGTGGGTTTAGAAAGGAAAACAACCACGCACACAAAAATAAAACTGAATAAGCAGAGACGGTGCCTATTTCAACACACATAACGAGGCGTTGGTGCAGAGGAAAGGCACCCATTGGGCACCGAGCGAGGATGCTCTTGGAAGTGGGAAGTTCTAAAATGGCAGCCTGTTCCAGAAGAGCCCACTCCAGCCTGTTTGTAAGTTGACAAGCATGCAACCAAAGCCACAGCTGGCTTCCACAGCACCCATCTCAAAGACACCAAGGAAAACAAACGCTTGGATTTTTACTGCCATTTATTTTAAGGAAATCCTTCCAAGTCTGTCCTTGGGGGGGGGGTTCTACTCTTCAGCTGAATAATCCACAAGAGTCACTAATCAATTCCCCTGCATCAGTAGAATGACTTTAATAAGCCTTGAGCGCGTCTTAGTCCAGAGCCTGCTAATTAAAGGGCTGTTAATGTACAACCCAAGGATTTCATCTCAGCCCACAAGTGCCCAAAACCTTGAGACTTTAGAGCTCGTAATGCAGACTGTGTGAAACGAGCTGGATGTTTCCAATCTGGCAGCCAGCTTTCTAGAAGCCACCAGCACTATGTGACCCTTTGGGTGGTAAAAGCAGAGCCCAGCTCAGAAGCGATGGGCAGAAGTCCCAGCACACAGCACAGGCCCATGGGATGCAGCTGGGGCAGATGAGGAGCTGCTGTGCTCATCACTGCTCCAATACTCTGGGGATAAGCAAAGCCTGCAAGCCTCAGGGCTGTCCATCTGGCTGGCCCGAGTTCACAAGAGGTTTTGATTGGAATCGTTATTCTTAATGCTGCTGTAACAGTCTCCTAACTGAAGATAACAGTCTGCAACACAGCAAATGACCAAAGATTCCATTTTCTCCATGAATAGCAGCTTCCCTTTTCAGAAATGCATCAACTTCACTCCACAAGCAGAGAAATGCCATTCCCTGTAGTTGTCTGCAATGCCTTCCAAACAGCACTGCAGTGACTTAACAGCACAAAGCAGACACAGATGCCACGGCATGGCAGACAGCTCTCTGAAAGCAACTGAGAGCTTCAAAAACAGCTTTTAAGAGGAGAGAGAAGCTCGCCCTGTGATCTTCTCAAAGAACATTTTGTAATAGGGACAGACAGACAGATGGGGGACCGTTTAAATATAGCACAGCCCTAATGCACTAAGCTCTGCAGCTTTATAATTAACAGTAAACAGAAATCCAGTTTCCCCCTCGCTCACCCAGTGCTCAGAGCAGCCATTAGCCTGCTGTCGCTGCACTACACTGCACAGAACATTCATAGGGAACCATCTCAAACCCAGCTGTTTATTGCTGCTCCTCGAGTCTGACAGCAAGCCCACATGTCAGCACGTCCCACTGCCAAATACATTCACTTGGGCCTTGCTCAGTACTTGAGGGCAGCTTATGAACAGGAAGGAGTCTGACTTTTCGCATGGTCTGATAGTGATAAGACAAGGGGGAAAAGATTTAAACTAAAAGAACGAGATTCGGGGCGGATGTTAGCAGGAAATCCTTTACTCAGAGCACAGCGAGGCCCTGGTTCTGCTGCCCACAGCTGTGTGCCCATGCCTGGAGGTGCCTGAGGCCGCAGATGGGCCTCAGGGCTGGTGAGCGCCCAGCCCACAGCAAGGGCAGCGCTGGGCATCTTTAAGATCCCTTTCAGGTTAAGCCGTCCTATAATTCTATGCCACGTGCAGCAGGCTGAGAGCTGTGACACAGAGCTGAGTCACAGCAACCTTCCTGCTCAGCAGCAGCCACAGCAGCACGTCTGGCTCGCGCTGACATTTGGAAACGGACAGGTTGCTGCTGAGAAGGGTAGGCAACGCTCAGTGCCCTTCATGGGATCTGAAAGCAGGGCTATTCTGGATGCTGCAAGAGCTCCTGTCCCACCTGCTGCTCACACACGCCCAAGGAATTTCCTTGATCAATATTTCCCCTCCATTAGAGAAGCAATCAAACCCGTGGCTTTCAGTCATGTTCCAAAAGAAGGTTTAAACTGCTGTGCTGCACGGCTTAAATCAGAGATAAGCAGCATTAAGGGCAAGAGATAAAACCTGTCTAGTCCAAAATTACTCAGATAGTGCCTAATTAGCACACTGCAAGAACAGGTCTCATTGAAACCGTGGAGATTAGCAAAAAACTGAACTTCTGTGGTGCTTTATTTTAACACTAAACCAGCATGACCTGCTTTGAAGATCACTGAATAACCCCATTTCTCACACAGAAATGGCTTCTCCGAAAGAACCTGGATGCTGCAGAAAACAGCCCATGGAAGAAAAAAAAGCAGTGCCCATACATCTTAGAGAATCTCTTAAAGATGTAAGAAATTGAACTGCAAGAGGAAATCTGTGCCTATTGAAATCTAAGTAATGTGTACATTTCTCTTGTATTCCTTAGGGGATCTGGAGAACAGAGGCACAATGAATGAGGTCAGGTTTTCAAATCCTCCCAAAGATCCCTCCTTGACAAAGGCTGCACCCTGTTATTCCCATCCATGTTGGCATGGAAGGTTTGTGCCATTGTGAAGTTCCACCATCACCCAGTGAAGGCCAGTCTTACCCCAAAGCATCAGGCTGTAAGGAGGTTTGCCAGAACATTTATGTCAATGGATCGGGGAACTCATTCATAACCACCAGCTGCTGCAGCAGATAACGTTCCAGGCAGATGTAACCTTTCCAAAGCCAGTCATTATGCAAAGCCATGATTTTTAATCCTCTCATCCAGGGGAAGAAGAAATTAGCCAGCTTACACAAATGCTAAAGCTTCCTTATTCAGTTTTCCTCCTTCATTTGTTCTTTTACTTTTGTTCATTTGTTACGTTGATCCAGTGGATGAAATTCACCATAAGCAAACAGGGGGAGACTTGTGAAGCTCACCCAGCTAAGCTAAATCCCAGGGAATACCTTCAAAAATACTGCAGCTGTGGCAACAGAGCAAATGCAAAGGGTTTTTCTCCTCCTGCCTTTTCCCTGCTCCCCTCCTTTGTGGATCCTTCACTTCAGTTTCGACGACACGCCGAGAACTGCAGTCATTCAAGTGGCAAAACAGATAACTGAGAAAACACGAATGCCATCAGTTACTGAACTGAGAAAACTGCTGAAGTTGGTGCATGTGCTCCATCAGGACAGCTGGCAGGACATCCTACAGCACAGTGTGGGCACACAGATGAACGTCACAGAAACACGATCACCTGCCGTCCCAGCAGGCTGAATCAGGGGGTGGAATCCCAGCAGTGTTAGTGATGAGAGCAGGCTGACACTGGCTTGTTTGCACACTGCTGCACATACAGCACAGCATCAGCACAAGGTTCACTTCTGTTACTCTTCTGGCTGCCAAGCTGTACTTCCTTCCTGTTACCCTCTGCTCTGATGGACTGGATTACTGCACCCAAGCACCCAGCTCAGGGTCACAGCACCGTCTTATGAGAGCCTGCTGCTAACTGCATCCATGTCTTGTAAGACACGTTTTTGCCACTGGAATTATGATTCATAAATTTTAACCTGTGTTATTTGTCCACGAGCTGCAAATGCAGAACTGACACACAACTGCACGCTCCTTTGTGTCATTACTTGGTTTCCCTCACCACCACTCTTCCCCTACAAGTCCCAGCTTCTCTAAACAGGCACTGCTAAGACAGAAGCCCTGCAAAGCAATTCAGCTCATCAGAACACAGATAGGATCAAACCAGGCCATGGGACAGAGGCAAAAATTCAGGAGTTTCCAAACTAGGAGACTACTGACTGGGAATCAATGATCTGTACAGCAAGACAATCCAAAAATGTGTGAAGTTGTACTGACCTTGGTGAAAGCTGGCCCACAGACTCTACCCAATGGTCACGGTGTGTTCAGAGGGGATGCTGGAATCAGACACCTGAAATCAGCAGGGCTTTCATCAGCAGTACAGCCAAGCCCCCCCAAACTGATACTACAACCACACTGCTTCTGCACAGAGCTTCTAACATCATCATTAGCTCTCACTGTGCAATTTGTGAATGAAGTGGGTGAAAAATGGTGGTAGCTCCTCATTCATCTATGTTTCCCCACAGGAAAGAATTAATTGTGTTGCTTGTGTGCGTATGGGTGAAGCCAGCTCGTAATGAACTTACATTCTAACTAATTTTATTTTCTATTAAGCAATTCATCTCAAAATCAGGAGACTCTTTGGACAGCTGCAATAGCTGTTAGCAGCAGGCACCAATTCAGCATTTGCCCTGGAAAGCAAGAGTTCATTACCACTCTGCTCCCCACATCTCCTTGGGACACCGCAGCCCCACAGCCTGCTTCCAAGCAAGCATTTTAAGGAGGTTCACTTTGCTTTATTCTCTACAAGGAGGAGTGGCAGCATTGAAGTCCCATAGCAAAATAGAGGCTGTCAGTTAATAAAAGCAGGCATTGCTGGTTCTTCCCTGCCCCAAAAATAACAAACCATCACAACATCCCTAACAAAAGCTCAAAGCAGGTGATGACAAAACCTCTTGGAGTCTGAGGAGGCAAGACTGAACGTGTCAGGATGGGAAGGCAGAGCAGAAAAGGACTGAGGCGAGCTGGGATTTGTGATCAGATCAGCTGAAATAATGAGGTTTCTCAATCCTGGGGGTTATTTCCTACTGCAGATACCCAACAACCTGTCACACTCACCTCTCAGATTCCTAGATGACCACTCAATTAAAGCCAATAATGGCTCCCCCCCTCCTTTCTTCCCTTCCACAGAACTGTGTGAGGAACTCCCAAAAGAAAGACGACTTTCAGCTCCAATCATAGGATTCATCCCCTCCAAAACAACACAACCCAAAGCAACAGCACAACCTAAAACAACAAAACAACCTACGAGCAGCAAGCAAGATAAGTCTGGTTTGAAATAAACACCAATTTAGCTAACTCAGTGCACACCTATTTCCATCAAAGCACAGCTTACTTCATCCTGCTCTTAATTGCTTTGAGATAACGTGAGATAAGTCTGACACAGCCTTGTGCACAGGCTTCACTAATGAGTCTGCAGACATTGCTCCATCTCAGCAACAGGATCAGATAATTGAAGACCTTTTAATGTGGACATTATTACAGAAAATAAAGGCAACTGCACCACTGCAAGCAACTGCTCCACAATCTGCTCTGAAAAAGACAATTTTTAGTGATTTAAGTACCTATGAATTGTAATAGCCATCAGTCCGTTTATTTTACTGAACTGACATTGTTTTCTTAAAGAAAACTGTAGTAAAGATACGCAAAAGCCCAGAATAACTGATAACATATGCAAGAAGCCTTGCTTACACATTGACCCGCAGCTTTTGAGCCTTGTAACTCACAATTTGGCTGCCCACGTGACTATAAACACCTCCATGAACCAAAGGTGTAAGTATTTACAACCCATAAGTGCAAGTGACACTCAGACAGGCTATGGGGTAAATAAGGACACACCTCAAAAGGGACAACCGTGTTTTTCCGTTAACTGCCCTTCCTGTAACTGATGTGTGACTGCTAGCAATGCCAGCAGGAAGGACTGCGACTCTGTGCTGAGGATAAGGCCATGGAGAGAGGAGGTGAACTTTCTTCTTTAGGGGCATAACCTGCTGCTACAACAGGATCAGGGTTTGTAGCCACCCTGGCGAAGTAATCTGTGATATTCATCCTACAGATATGCGTCCTCAATCTCCCATGCTGAATTATTAACTTAGAATTATTGACCTCCCTTCCTGAATAGCTTAAGGTCACCAGGAAGGCAGCACAGAGCAAGCAGGATTAAAGACAGGGGGAAACCACAGCAGCAGCAAGGTGAGCTCTCACCCACAGCTCCTCTTCACAGGAAAATCCCGCACAAACCGCAGCTCTTTCAAAGCATTACAGGGCCAGAAAGGAGGGGGAGAAAAGGGACGGCAGCACTAACCCTACAGACACACCTGGGGACGCGCACAGCGCAGCACTGCGAGCAGGCAGCCATCGGGCACAGCAGATCCGTCACCCGAGGGCAGCGAGGCCTCGTGCCGAGCAACGGAGGCAGGGCTGACGCGCGGCTCGGGGATAACAGCCCCCGCCTGCGCTGACGGAGCCCCACAGGCGCGTAGATGGGCGCCCTAAGCCCCACACTGAGACCCCGCGGGGCTCCCACAGAACGCCGCGACCCGCGCGACCCCAAACCGCCCTCAGCGGCCCGAGGGAACGGAACAGAGCAGGCCCGCACCGACCCCCACGGCCCAGAACGGAGCAGCACGGGCCCCTCGAAGGCTGAGAAAAGCCCTCAACAGCCCCAAGCTTCGCGAAAAGCCACGAAGGACCCCGCAGCCCCTTCCCCAGGCCAGCAGGAGGGCAGGGCAGCCCGCACGCTGCGCGCAGGGCCGTACAGGCCGCACTCACCGCCATCCCCACCGCGCCGCTCCTGCAGGCGGCGGGAGGGCGGGATTTGGAAATGAGGCCGCGCCCCGCCTCCTCCGCTCTCTGATTGGTCCCGAGCGTGGAGGCGGCAGGCCAATGGCAAGGAAGGGGCAAAGAGAGAAGAATGGGGCGTGGCCTAGCACAAATGAGGGCGTGGCTTAGCAAAAGGAGCGTGGCCTAGCGGGAAAAGGGGCGGGGCTCAGGCGGTGGCGCGCGTCGGTGGTGCACGTGGGTCGGCGCGCGCCCCGCTTTGCGCCCCGCTTTGCGCCCCGCTTTGCGCCCCGCTTTGCGCCCCGCTTTGCGCCCCGCTTTGCGCCCCGCTTTGCGCAGCGTTGCCCCATCTCGGCTGTTCTCTGTGGAGACCGGAGCCGGTAGAGGGTAGAAAAAGTTAAAAGCTTTGAGCCTGTAGCCGTGTTCCGGGAGGGGACTTATGCACTGGCAGCGGGCGGAGTCAGAAAGTAAGCGGGAACCCCCGGGGGCAGCGGGGACACGGCCCGGTATATATGTGTGTGTGTGTGTGGGGAAGGGGGGTTAGGGTACACGGCCCTGGGCACTCCCCCCGTCTCTCCCGGCTCTCCGATCGTTTCGATTTCGTTTCCCGGAAGGATCGCGCCGGAGCCGCGTTGGGGCAGCGCCGAGCGGCGGGGGGCGGCGGGGATGCAGGTAAGAGCCGCCCACCCCAGGTTGTGGCACCCGAGGAGCCCTTTTCCAGCGGATCCCTCTCGGAGTGGAGCAGTGAGGTTGGTCGTGCTGAGCACCGGGCTCCGTGCTGCCCCTTTTCACAGCTCTCCTCCCGGTTTGCGGCTCCGAGGCGAACCGAGTAAATGCCATCTCAGATACACGCCCGAAAATAGCGAAGGAGGAATCAAAACAACGCCAAACCGACTCTGATAAAATAGGGCCAAAGTTACCGGTGTTAAGAGTGTGTCGTTGTGCTCTAGAAACCTTTAGAAGTGAGGAGCAAAATGCACTGCTAATTCCCTTTGCTCTTATCTTCCTGTCTCTTATTGCATAGAATGAATCCGAAACACAATTTGCATTGCTGCAAAACCTCTCTAAATAGAGTTTATCCTGCTGGATTTGCTCTGGTTTCTTCCTGTGATTCTATGCAGCTGCTTGCTTTGCTAAAACCAAATCCTGGACACAACAGCAAAGCCACGATATCACCTCCAGCAGAAAACACGCTAACATTTGTCCTTCGGGTGAGGAAAACCCTTCAAGATGAAATTTGAGAGTGATTCAGCTCTTGCTGATCTTTCTCATCAAGAGACCAAGCAGCAGCAATAGTTCCTCATTGTCATCCGTCAACAATGTTGGGAGATGAAGCACGTCACCAACTCTGGTGACCTTCAGCCTTTGGCTGAATGCTGCCTGCTGCAGCTCCCGCTGCCCTGGGGCTCAGCTTAAGTCCCCCATGCTCCACCTTTAGGATCCATCAGCTTTAGGGTCACCACCTTCAGTGCCACCACCTTTGCACTGAGGCCACAGCCAGGCTCTGCTGTCTCTTTAGGGCTCAGCTCCCCCCCACACCCCATTAAGGGGGCTGTGTTACCCCTCTCCCCCCAGAAATTTTCCCAAGGGCGTATGGAACTGCTCGGAGTCAACTGCTTCAGAAAACAGCACTTGCAGGCAAAACTCTTAATTTTCCAGAGAGCGAAGCCAAGCAATCATTAACAGATTTTTAAGGGGAACCATTATCCACTTTGCTGCTGGTGGTATTTCAGGATGTGGGTGATGCTGCAAGCAGGACCTGAGCTCCACGCTGGTTCGTGACCAGGGGTGATGTTGGAGAGGAGCTCCTGCTGATGGAGGAAGAAAAGGGGAAAAAGAGAGTGGGGGTTTCAGGCTCCTGTCTGGGGCAACCTGGGGCTGGTGAGGATCAAGAGCAAGAACACAGAGAGCACGTCACAGCACGGGGAAGGCAGCTCACCCTGGTGCAGGTGTGTCCAATGCAGGGGCATGTCAACCCGGAATTTCCCTCCATCGATGCATTTAATTTCTTTTCCCCAGGGTGAAGTGACGCCCGGCTCTTCCAGCCCAGTGGCTGCAGCTTTGCTCTCATCCTGGAGCAGACACACAAACAGCGATGAGGGGCATGGCCTGGCACTGCCTGGCAGGCTGAGTGAGTGGGGTGGGTTTTGGTTCCTATAGAGGGGAAGGGTGGTGATGGAGACCACTGCACCTCTACATTGGGTTTGGGGACACAGACTGAGCTGTTTCAGGGGCTGTCACCACTTTCAGGAATCCAGCCCTCGTTGTGGAGTAAGGACGATGTCATCCACTGGCTCAGGTGGGCAGAGAGGGAGTATTGCCTTCAGCAAACGGATGAAAGCAAGTTTGAAATGAATGGCAAAGCCCTGTGCATCCTCACCAAGGACGACTTCAGGTTCCGCGCTCCTGGCTCAGGTTTGGTGAGGCAGAAGGGCATTACAAGGACCAGGTCTATCCCAGGCTGTGGCCTGCTGTGGGAGGGATGGGTGGGTGCTGGAGACCAGGAAAAACCTCTTACAGACCCCACGTTCTTAGAGATGGTGAGGAAAGTCTTTCTCTGTGAGCACTGCAGCAATACAAGCAGCAAAACCACCTGAGCTCACTTTCCTTCCCCACAGGTGATGTGTTGTATGAATTACTTCAGTACATTAAGACTCAAAGAAGAGCTCTGAGGTACAGCCCTTTGCTGAAATCACCCTACCGAGAGGCCAAGGGCACAGGGGAAGGTATGATGGGCATGATGCCTGTATGGTGGGCATGCTGCCTTTCCACGCAGCACAGTGCCTGCCCTTGGCTGCAGCATGCAGCTGAACCCATCCCACAGTCCCTAAACAAAGCTTATTTCAGGGCTCTGGAAGATGTCCTGGGATCCACCTCAGTGCAGCATGAGGTTTTCCCTTTCAGGGATGGACGGTGGTGCAGAGGCTGCCCCGACTGCTCCCTCACCCTGCCTGGAACACACTGAGCTGCCCCCATCCCACAGCCTCCATCAGCCCCTGAACCTCTCCCATCCCAGCACTGAGGGCAGCTGCGGGGCAGAATCCATCCGCTTTTTTCCTACAGCCCCATCGGCATCAGTGGATGGGAAAATCGCAGGTGAATGTTATTTTTTTTTCATCCTGGTTCCTCGGGGAAATGAGATTGTGCTCCATCCCCTCTGCCCTCCTGCCACTTTCTGTTTATTCCATCCGTGTGTGCTTCAGTTTCACGGAATTGTAGAATCACAGAATGGCCAGGGTTGGAAGGGACCTCAAGGATCATGAATCTCCAACCCCCCTGCCACATGCAGGGCCACCAACCTCCCCATTTAATACAGGTTTCCCCACTTGAAGAAGTGTAGTTCACATTGACGCCTTGAGATGCAGAAATAAAACGTGAGCTCTGGGCTCTTCTTGCACCTATGCTTCCCATAACGTGTTTAATGCATACATAATAACTGCTAATGCCCTGACACTCACCGACCTTCACTGGAGCCACAGTGGGAGCTCTGTCATGTCTCCTGTGTGCTCAGACTGCAGGCTGCTGTGGGATTACATCTACCAGCTCCTGTCCGACAGCCGCTATGAGCCCTACATCAAGTGGGAGGACAAAGAGGCCAAGCTCTTCCGCATCGTTAACCCTCATGGACTCGCTCATCTCTGGGGGAACCACAAGGTAAAGAGGGAGGTGTCAGCCCCAGAAACCGTGGGACCTGTGGGCCCAGAGGCAAATGTGGGCTGCAGAGCTGTGCCAAGGCTTGCAGTGCCATGGCAGCCACCCTGATGGTCCTGCTGCAGATCCAGGCCAGGGATGGGTGCTTGCTTTGGCTCAGAGCCCCAGATTTCATTTCTCCTTCCAGAACCGCATGAACATGACCTATGAGAAGATGTCCCGAGCGCTCAGACATTACTACAAGCTTAACATCATCAAAAGGGAACCGGGGCAGAAGCTGCTGTTCAGGTGAGCTGAAGATCAGAGAAGCAGTGTGGATGGGGCATGGAAAGGTGCTGGGCTCCAGGTGTTGGCATCTGGATCTCTGATGGGGCAGAGCTGTGCTGAAGTTGCAGCGTTTTGGCTGTGTGCATTTGGGGTAATGCATGGGGACGTGGATCTGAAGCCCACCTATGGACAGAACAGATGGAAATAAGTTGGGAGCCCACTGTTTCCAGTGCTGGCTGCTTCCCTGGGACTACCCTGGGCTTAAAATACCGTGCTGGGCTGACATGTGCCATTTATTGCTTTAACACTGAGAGCTCTGTGCATCCTGAGGGCAAAGCAAGAGCTCCAGAGCTCAGCTCAGGGCAGGGGCTCCAGCATTCAAAGCCTGGTGCTTAGAACAACTAAAAACGACTTGCAGATTTCTGAAGACACCCGAGGAGATCATCCAGGAGAAATCCAGCAAGCTGGAGCAGCTGGAGAACATGGAGCACGAGGAGCTCAGGGAAGAGCTGCTGGAGGTTTCAGTGCAGGACACCACGGAAGGCTGTGTGTGCACTGCTGTGCAGGGGGACCTGTGCTCTGCTGGGAAGTGCCAGCACCTCCTGCTCCCTGCACAGAAGGCAGCAGAGGGGGTCCTGGATTCCAAAAGTTGCCTTGAGCCAAAGCTGTGATGCCTCGAAGCTGTTGGGAAAGGCTGCTTGGTTGTTACAGTGAGATGAACACACGTGCAGGATCACCAGTGCACTGATGTTGCCTTGACCTGCTATAGGACTCACCCTGCAGATGTGCTGAGCACTGTGATCTGTCTCCTGTGGAGCTGCAATTAGGGGTGGGAATGTGCTGAAGAGATGGTCTGAATCCTGGCTGGAGCTGCAGGCTGTACAGATGTTCTACTGGGTCTTGTTTTAACTGCTTTTAATCACGCTTTGTGTAACCATATGTCTAAATGATGTGACATGAAACAGGTCAGCAGTGAATGTGATCTCTGTTGGGGTACAGGAGCGCTGCCTCACAGCCTTGGTGATGTGCTGGCAGGGAAGGATGCCAACATTTCTGCTAGGAGCAAAAGCTGGAGGTCACTCAGCATCAGCCAAGCTGCTCAGGGGGGCTCCCATCCTGGTCGTGTGCCACTCCTGGGATAGATACACACTCATGGGTGCCTTTATTCTGACTGCTTTCCCATCCCCATCTTGTCATGGAAGCAGCCCTGGTGACTCCTGAGCAACCCATGGCTCCCCAGGCTGGCACAGCTGGCTTTGTTGGAGCTGGTGGTGACCCCAGCACACACAGGCAGTGCGTGTGGCTGCCTTCCACCGGTTCCTCCAACGATGACTAAGGATCCCATTGGACTTGGATGGGGATTTCCTCCTGAGCTTGGGAAGCTGCCAGGTGCACTCAGCCCTCCTTGAGCTGCGCTGTGCTCTGGAGCGATCTCGGAAAGCAAAAAAGCAAATGGCATTTTTGCAAGGATGGGCTGTGCCATGAGAAATCCTTCCCAGCTTCTAGGATGAGCTCGTGTCTGTCTGTCCCAGGGCAATGCGGCCATTGCTCTTCCCACAGTGTATGCAGGTGAGACAGCCATAAACACTCTGCTTTCCTGGAACATAACCCATCCCTTTCAGTAAACAGCCCAGCAAATGCCACCTGCACTGGGGAATTCAACGTGTGCACGTGGGAAGAGGGAGTGAATGGTGCTGGGGATTTCTGCTGTGGCTGTGCTCCATGTGGTAGCATGTGGGGAGGGGTCCCATGCTTCCCCCGTGTGCCCATGCCCACCAGCACCTTGGAGCAGAGGTTCATTAAGCCATGCAGGTGCCGTGCGTTGGCTGTGCTCTCTTTTCAGCCCATGTTGGGCTGCCTCCATCCTCTGTGTCTTGGTTCAGGTCTGAACTGCAGATATTTTTGTGCCCAAGGTTCAGAGGGATCTTTGTGGTTGGTGTCTTTACAATTAAAACACAGCATCTGCTTGGGTCAGTCAAATAGAAACACAGAATCATTAAGGTTGGAAAAGACAATTAAGATCATTGAGTCCAAGCACTGACCCATCCCCACTGTGCACATTGACCACAACCCTCAGTGCCACGTCTCCAAGTTCTGGAACACCTCCAGGGTCAGTGACTGGGGCAAACCACAGAATGCAGCCATATCATAGAGCCGTAGAACAGACCCACAAGGATCATTGTATCCAACCCTTGGCTTCACACCAGGCCACTCAAAATCAAACCCTGTGCACCAGAGGAGGTTCACAATGGACACAATCCCTTACTCTAGGGATGGACTAGACCTCCATAGAGGTGGCTGAAGCCCTATGCTTGCTGTTGTTCAAGAGGCACTGGACAATACCCTCGATCATGTGCTTTATATTTGGTTATCTCTAAATAAACTGCCTTGGGCATCTTCAGGCTACATCCAGAAATGCAGCTACAAAGAGAGAAAGCCTGGAAGAGGCCCTCAATCAATGCTGATCAGTGCTGATCCCCGTGGAGCCATGAGAGCCCCGCCACCAACGGGGATCTTTTACAGACTCATCCTGGATGACCTGCAAACAAGAGGTGGCCAAACTGTGCTCCATTCCCAGAGTGATGTGGCTGTTTGTTAGCTGGATGTTGAAGGGGAAAAGCAGACTAAGTTGATTGTGAAAGTTCTTATCACTCACTGTGGTCACATGCCACTCGGTGCCCTAGAGCTCCTGCTGGATAGGTTGTTTATCAGCAGCAAGTGGGGATCCTGGAAAACAGAACTGGGTATTTCCTAATCAATACCAGACTGACGCATCAGCGTTCAGAAGAGGTGGAGGGAAATGGGCTGTTTCTCTTCAAGCAGTAGGAAATTGCAGCCCAGAGAAAATGTAGAAAGAGATTGAAAGGAAATAATTGTGGACACATTGAATTGTGAGCTGTACCAGTTATCAAGAAAAGACTGTTCCTATCCAGGATGGTTCTGGGCAGCACGTCATCCATGAAAGCTGGAGAAAACAAAGCACTTGCTCGCATGGAAACCCCACAGGACTTTCCAAAATCACCGTGCCAGTCATTGCACAGATCACCACCCAGCAAATGCATCCGTGTCCAGCGCCGTGCAAGGTGCAGTGCAAAATATTGCCATCAGATGGCAAAGTAGCAATGGGGATGGCAGGCAGCAGCTGGCAGGAGGAGGCAATGGACACAGGTGGATGAGGTGTGAGAGAGGCAGGGGGGCTGGAACCAGGTGATCTCTATGGTCCCTTCCAACCCAAACCATTCTACTGTTCTGTGATTAAGGTCCCAATTCATGTTTGAGGGTGGGCAAGGAGGCTGCCTGAAGGGCCCCAAGGGGGGTTTCAAGGATGTTGCATCCCGGCCATGTTCATTATGTGCCCCCCATGTCCTGAGTGTTGCTGGGGTGGCAGTGGGGAGATCCTGCCGCTGCTCTGAGGCCCCATTTCCCTGAGATACTTCGGTTTCTTCCTACAGAAGCAGCACACCAAAACCTCCACGGCTCATCGACCCACAAGAGATAAAAATAAACAAACAAAAACCACCAGCCGGCGGGCTGGGATGGCCGGTTCCAAGGTGCACCAGGTGACACGGATGCTTTGCGCTGTTTTGCTGCCGGTTATCACAAGGAAATGGTTCTCCTTTCTACTGAAACTCACGCACAGCGGTTCCCATGCGGAAGTGCCGTCCTGAGAGCTAAAAATAGGGCTGAGTCAGCGGCCCCAAAAGGTATAAAGCAGGCGGGTATAAAGCCGGAGGGGCCGGGGCTCCCCTTGCTCAGTGCTGAGGAGTTGGCCTCCACACGCGTCCAGAAGAGCAGCGATCCCAATGGAGAGGTAAATAGCAAAGGAGCAAATCAAGAACGATGCTCCCAGTGGGAGTCAATCGGAGGATGGGGTTCGCTTTGCTGTGATTGCAGTTACGAATGGTGCTCACAAGGGTGGGTTTGGGGTTGTCTTTTTGATCCGGAAAACGGCCGAGCTGTGTGGGGTAGATGTGTGTTCTGTGTGCCCAGCCCTGCAAGCAGCTCCATGCTCTGCATGGCTCAGCCCACAGGTTTTGGTGTTGGCTTCCCGCGCTCTGCTCAGCAGTGGAATCAGGCTGGTTTGGGTCTGTCTCTCTGGAAGGTGCACAGCTGTGGCTGGTTTGGTTTTGTTTGTTTGTTTGTTTGCTGTGGTTGGCTTTTTTAGCAGCTTCAAGGGGAGATGCTTGAAGATTTGGGCTTAGGGGCTGTGTTGTGATGGGAAGACACAGCACGGCAATATGCCTGTTACACCTGTGCAAACCCGGCAGCCCCTTTGGCACCGGATGAGTTCATCCTCTCTGCAGTTTCACTTCTCCCATTACCACTGTCTTTACCCCATCATAAAACCCTAAGCGTGCAGCCTACATCCATAAACACTATAAAAGAGGTTGATCATTTACCAAGGGCAGATACGCCCTTGGACACCTCAAACACCCTCAGCTTGCAGTCAAAACAGCAGCAGTTTCCATCATAGCCATCCCACCCACTCTCTGTCCTCAGCAAAGCAAACACCGGGCTGAAAATGTTGTTTTCCTCTGCAGCAAAACGCGGGTTGTGCCCACAGAACAGCAGCGATGGGACGCGGCATGGCAGCCATCGGGATCCATCCTTTCTCTGGACAGGAGAGGGGCCAAGAAAGTGCTGGAGATCTACGTCAGGCGTTCATTGAGCTGCTGTGAGAACACGCAGGCGGCCAAGGAAAGGCTTCAGGAGGGAGCCAAAGCACGAGGGAGGAAAGCAGCTCTGCTGCAAAGGTCGGAGAGCGACTTTGGCAAGTATTCGCATGCCAAGAACAGCTTGAAGAAGGAGCAGGAGGAGGCAGCCAAGGAGCTGGGGCTGGAGGAGGCTGTGGTTGGGGAGAGCAAAGCGTCGGCTCCTGGGGAGGAACTTAAAGAGGAGCTGGAGCCTAAGAGGAAAAGCACAAAGAGCTCCCCCCAGGGCAAGGCCCAGCGCACCTGGTTGAAGAGCTTCTTAAATCTGCTCTTCAAAAGGAGCCCCGAGGAGCAGAAGGAAAACGCTGGGCAAAAAGTGAAGGAAAAAGATGTCAGGACTCCTTACAGCAGCAAAACAGAAGGGCCCAGGAGATCCAGAGCCGACACCAGCACATCCCCTACACTGGGCAAAGCCTCCAGGAAGAGACCCAGCCTCAAGAAGGTCTTCTCCTTCAAGAAGAACGTGGAGGAGGAGCGTGGTGAGGTGGGGGCCAGGGCCAAGCGCCCCAGCTGCCTGCCCCTGCGGCACGTCCTTGCATCCAGCCCTACAGGTGAGAGCCCTCCATCAACAGGGCCTGGGGTGTGAGAGTGCAGATCCTACACAAGAATCGCCCTCTTGTTGCTTTGGGAGCTCCAATCTTGACTTGCTGCCCCAGGAAAGGGTCAATTTTGCTTGAGCTGATTGGATCCCCTGGGTGAGGAGCACAACTGTGCATCGTTATGGTGACTTGTGATGCAGCAAGTTACTGCACGCTGCTCCAAGGCAATTGTCTGTGCACAGAATTTTATGTGCACCTGCAGCAAAAACAGTTCACCCTAGTTTAGTTTCAACCTGCATTTGAGACCAGACACTGAATCCGGAACCACCCAAGGGCCGTCCCCTGCTGCTTTTGCTTTGCTGCAGGGAAGGGTGGGAGCCACCGCGGCAGCAGCGCCTGTGTTACATCCTCACCCCTTCCTAAACGCCAACAGGAGAGGCAATCCCACAACCTGGGGTGGGTGCAGGCACCATGCCAACGGGGTCTGCGCCGGCCTTTCCATCAGTCCCTGGTTCTGACCAGTGCTCTTCTCCCTGCAGAGGCCGAGCAGCCGGAGGGTTACTATGCGCGGGTCTCGGAGGAGGTCGGGCTGATCGTGCAGGGCAGTGGGGAGCGCAGGGCTGAGCGGCTGCCAGGGCCGACCTGCACCGATGGGGTCGGTGAGTGCTGCACTTTGGTACTGAAAACACTGTGGAGTGGGATTTGTCCCCGTGCAGAG